TGAACCCCAACGGGTCCCCAGGGGGCGTGGCTGGCGTCTGCTCCTTCGATGGCCGCCACCTGGCCCTCATGCCTCACCCCGAGCGGGCTGTGCGGCTTTGGCAGTGGGCGTGGCAGCCTCCTCCCTTTGACACTCTGACTACCTCCCCCTGGCTCCAGCTCTTCATCAACGCCCGAAACTGGACCCGGGAGGGGGGCTGCTGAGCAGGGGGGCGTCGTGGGGGGCACCTGGGCCCAACGGTCTCAGCCCGCCCCATCCCCATCTTCAGAAGCACCCCCACGTCATCTCCACAGACGTCTGGGACAGACAAGGACCAAAGCGCCAAAAAAAACCTCAGCTAATGTTACTAATCAGCCCGCTTTTGCCTCACGTTGTTGGATGTGTTCCTCTCTCCCATAGTTTGTTCTTTGTGGACCCGGGAAGCCGCGTGTGGGTCTGAGGCAGAAGCCTGCCTGCAGCAGGGGGAGGGTCCCATCGCCCCAGGCCACTCGGCCCAGTGGTCGAGGCGTGCCTCCTGTCTTCCTCCGGGCTCGGGGGCATGTTTTACGTGCCCCTTCCCCATACGTGGGATTGTGGGGCTGGGGGTGTGCGAGAGCACGCAAGTCAAGTCGGGGCCTGAGTGTTCTTATCAGAAAAACTGCAGAAGGAAGCTTTCGGGATTTCTCTTTTCAAAATGTAGTGCTGGGCGCCTGGGGGGGCTCAGTCGGTTAAACGTAGGACTTCAGCTCAGGTTGGGATCTCACAGCGCGTGGGTTCGAGCCCCACGTCGCCGCGTCGGGCTCTGTGCTGACAGCTCAGAGCCTGGAGTTGCTTCGCATTCTGTGTCTCCCTCGCTCTCTGCCTCTCCCCCACTCACCCTGTTTCTCTTTCAAAAATAAAACCTTAAAACAAAATGTAGTGCTATGTGGTGCAAGCAATTGTTTGCAGAGGTTTCTGCAAAACCAGTATCCAGCTGTGGGGTAGGGCTCCCCCAGTGCGGGCCTCTGAACTCAGCATTTGCTTCTAGATTTAGCAGACCCCTTCCTGGCAGAAACGGGCAGCACCTGCTTCCCTAGGATTGAGCCTTCAGTATCCAGTCATTCGGTCATTCATTCCATTAATGTTTGGTGATTAGCTACAGGGCCGAACGTGGTCACTGCTCCCAGGGGTCTTCTGGTGTGAAGAGAATTTAAAATCACAGCTATAGGGGCACTTGGGTGGCTCAGTCGGCTTGGTTTTGCCTCAGGTCAGGATCTCACAGTTTGTGAGTTGGAATCCCCAGTCGGGCTCTACTGGAGCCCAGAGCCTCTCAAAAATAACGTATAAAGAGTATACCAGGAACTAAGCGCGTGTTTGGCATTTTAAGTGTATCTAAATTATGTCTCACAAGAATTCATCAAGATACTTGAGAGGCTACCCTCTTTGTTCTTTTGTTTTTGGTTTTTTTTTTCTCAAAGGTAGAATTAAGGTTAAATAGCCTGGGGACACACATCTACGGGCGAGCCGGGAGGCAGGGCTCGGCCTACAGCTGCTGCAGCCTTCCTGCAGTCACGCCGGAGGCGGCGGGACCCAG